TGTCAGATGAAAAGTAATTTAAATTTTAAAATTTAAATTTTTTCCCAATCATTGTTCGTTCAATTAAAATAGTTATCATCTTTTCAGGTATCAAGGTCGATATTTACGTCTGAAGCCCTTTTTACGAAGATTTAGTGCAGGTTACATTTATGCAAAATTATTAACAAGATATTGTTGCGATTTTAAAAATAAAAAAACAACTCAAGAAATAATAAATGTGGCTCAATTGTTGCTAGATCAAAATTTGTTCATGCGTTCAAAAAAGGGAAAACTGTATGAAGTATTATGTCAAGCTTTAGAAAAATCCAAAGACAATTATCAGTCAGGAGAAATAATAATAAAAGCTTTAAATGATCCTGTTGTTAGCGAAATTCAAAAATTATCCCTTAAATTAAGAGGTCAAAATCTTTTAAAAAAAAAAACAAATTCTATAGATGATAAAAATTTAAAACAAAAATTAGATGTTGTTTGTTCCTTGGCAATTCAAGAATCTCCAAGTATTGAAATAACAGGAAGGGCATTACAAGGAAACAAATCAGGTTCTAAAGCTGTATATATTGAAGAAACAAAGCATTGTAAAATTTTCACATCGGTTGAAGAACGAGCATTATTACATTACAAATCACAAGGCTATTCAAAAGGTTAGTAATTAATTTTTTTTTCAAAGAAGGAAAACCTTATAAGTAAAAAAATTTGTTTGTAGTTGTTGAAATCGAATTAAAACATGACATCCTTATAACTCAACATCACTAAAATTTTATACTGAATTTCTTTTAGGTCATCATGTAGAAGGTTATATTCTTCAAACAATTTATGTGCTTTTATTTTTCGATATTATATATGATATGTCACCTGAAGGAGTGTTTTTAAATTCATATCAAGAAGCTCCATTAGATTTTTACACACATTGTTTTTATGAAAACAGAAAAGATGCCATTGATTTACGTTTGAAAGAAATGTCTTCTTGGACAATAGAAACCGTTTTAAATAAAATTACATTGGTGTTCATATACAATTATAAAACAAAATGTTTACTATCGTGGAATGATAATTTCACACCTGATGTATTAACAGTAAGTTCATTTTCCAGTTTTTAAATGTTTTTCAAAAATTTTGTGAAATTAAAAAGAATTTTAGTAAGTTAAATTTTTAATTAAATTGGCAAATGTAATGGTAAATAATTGATAATTTTTTTTTGTACAGGAAATAATTACATGCTTGACCTTACCGAAATTATCGAAAATTTGCGAAAGATTTACAAAAAATTTTAAACTTGCCAGAGTAGGTTTTCCAGATTTGACATTGTGGAATCCCGAGACTCAAAAATATAAATTTGTTGAAGTTAAAAGTCCAAATGACCGTTTATCTTCTGCTCAAAAAATATGGTTGGATTATTTAATAAAAAATGATATTGATTGCGAAGTGTGTAATGTCAAAAGTAAGTAAATTGATACAAAATTTTAAAAATAGAGATTTTTATTACAAATAAATTCAACTTCATCTGGTCAATGAATTAAAAGACATACAATGAGGGTAAAAAAACTTTTGAAACATCCAAAGTTGTTTAATTATATTATTGCAAAATAATTTTCTATATATTTTCAAGTATTTTAGCATGACGTTGCAATTATTTCGGTTTAAATTTAACTAATGAATTAATTAAACAAAGTAATTTAATTTGAAATTAAAGAAATTTTCTTTTCCTGTTCTATTTCTTAATTCTTTTTTTTAAAATTTTTTTGCGCATTAAATACATTTAACAAACTGGCATTTAAGCAGTTTAAATTTTTTAAAATAAAAAATCGAATTAAAGTCTGAACTTTTTTTTTTTTTTTTTTTCATAAAATAAAAAAAAGAATTTATTTTTTTATTAATAAAATAATAATACTTATGATTATTGAGTAATATTTAAATATAATAAATATTTTTTTCTTTTGTACTTATAAATTTTCTGTTTTTTTTTTTTTTTTTAGATACTGCAAGAAAAGTAAATGGGAATAATTGATCAAGGGAATTGTGCTAATAATTGCAAGAAGTTTTTTGTTGACTTAAAATTAGTTTTTTTTTATACATTCTTAATATACGAAAGGTTTCAAAATAATAAAAAAAGAAAAAAATTATGTTTAATTTTATAAAATAAGTAATATATAATTAATAAAAAGTTATTAAGTAATTTTTTAAAAATTGTTTCAACTTCCTTTTACTCACGTAGTTGAAAATTCATAAATGGAGTTTACGTCATTTCCTGTTTGTACGTTCAGTCATAACATTTCAAATAGTAATGGTGAGGAACATTATAAATTTTAACTGTTAGCCGCGCTTAGTGTTAAATTAATCGTATTTTTAAAAGTTTTGTATTATTCTTATTTAAAACTAAGCTTTTGTTTCATTTATTTCAAAAAATTAAAACAATTTACTCATAGGAATCGAATATAAATGCTTTGAAGCGGTTTTTATTTTATAATGACAGGGTGAGGCAATGGAATATGTATCAAACATTTACAATTTTTCTAATTTTTTTATATTTTTACCATTAAATTTTTAATATTTGTTAAGTAAAAGCATCTAAAAGTACAAAATTAATCATTAAAAACTATGTTTTATTAATATTTTATTATTTAATGAAGTTTTTCTTACATATCTAACGTTTTTTATAAATTTGTAATCTTGCTTAAATGATTTCAGTTTACAAAAAAAATGTTTTAGGTGCATTATAGATGAGAGTAATAAAAGTAATATTAATTATTTTTTACACAATTATTTATCAATACTTTTTATTTAATACTATTTTGTCAAACTCTTATTTAATTTCATTATAAATTTATTTATTAAATTTTAATGGTTACCTTATTAATTTAAGTAGTTTAGTTGAAGTACTGCATTTAATAAATTTTTTATTTTAGTCGATTATTATTATTATTCAAATTTCTTAATATTATTTGTACAAATTTTTTAATTTTATAATAATATAACTACTACTTAACTTGTACTTAACTAGCTTTACAGAAAAAGAAATGCTAAAACAGATGCTTCTTTTAAAATTATTTAAAAAAAAACATTTAAATGGAAAGAAATAATGAAAAAAAATACATTTAATTTTATGTATTATGTGTTAACTAACTTTGTAAAAATTTTAACGCAAACAAAAGCCTGTATGTCATTTTATTCAATTGTTTATTCGAAAAAAAAAAAAAAATCAATTCATATAAAAATAAATTAAATTTTTCACTTCATGAAAAATCAATGACAAATGTGCATTCTAATTTACCTATTATTCTGCTTATTATCAATAATATTACATTAAAGTCGAATAAAAAATATTACTTTTTAATTAATGCATATTTGATGTTTGTAAACAATTTGACATTTCAGCAAAACATTTTATTGTATTCATATGTTTGAAAATTAAAATTTTTTTTTTTTGTACTTTTCAAACATTGTAAATAATTTGTCGATTTGTCACTTTTTTTTTTTTTTTTTTTTTTAATATAATTAATTATGAAATACTTGAATTCATTAAAATCAAATAATTTTTTTTTTATTATTATTGATCCGACAGCATTATTGCATTTTTAAATGGCATTTAATTAATAAAGTTATTCGAGTCATTGATTTTTTATTTTTATTTTTAATTGTCAATCAGGCTTTAAATTATTTTTTATAAATAAATTTACACATAGGTATTCAATTTCGTGTATTTATTTATTATTATTATTATTATTATTATTATTATTATTATTGAAATTTTTTTTTACTTAATAATTAAAAATTTTCCCGTTGCAGGTCGGCGCTGCAATCGATTTTATAGAGCTTTGCGATTGCGTATTTACGGTCAAAACGCCAGAAAATTTTTGTCATCTCCATTTAGAACAATGAATGTAGAAAAAGCACATGACCGATGTTATGAATAACTTTATCGGGCTTTATAATTATTTCTCATCAATTATTATTATTATTTTTTTATAGTAATTTGTATATATATATATATAGTTAACAAAGTTTTCATCTGGTAGTTTATTTACAATAATTTTATTTTGAGTTTTTCATTTTTTTTTCCCTCCTTTTTTTTTACTTTTTTTTTTATTATTATTATATTTAGTTCAGCGTTACAATTTTTTTTTTTTTTGATTAATTTCGATGAAAACATTGTGAGTGATTTTTTAAATAATAATAATAATAATAATTTACCGTAATCGGTTTTAACGACGTTGATCGTGAAAAAAGTCGGTTTGTGATTGTTTTTTTTTTTTTTTTATTACGGTAGTATAAAACTTAATTAGTGATAAATATGCTGGGGGGGTTCAATAGTAATGTAAATAACACTCTTATGAGTGATTGTTCATAAGTTTTTGTTTTGTTTTCTTTTTCTTTTCTTTTTTTCTTTTTTATTTTTTTGGGATTTAAAGTTTTGGACGATGCCAGTGTTTTTTTTTTTTCGTTTTGGGGGGGGATTATAATGATTTTACAAGGGAAATAGTTCAAGTAATATTTTTTATAAAATCGTAAAAAAAAAAAAAAAAAAAAGGGCCCGAGCCTTTTTAAGTCTTTATCGGGCTTTATCTTTTTGGATGTTTTTCCTTAGAATATCCGCCTTAACTTGGCAGGAAAATGTCAGACCAAAGATGCACGTTCAGTTGGGTAAGTTTTTTTTTTTTTTTTTTTTACCTTTTTACTACCTTTGATTTATCATTTTGTACTTTTAACAGAAGAAAGCCATCGCGTATAAAAAACATTTTACCATATTTTTTATTTAATCAAAAAAAAAAATTATTATTATTATTGTTTTTTTCTCATTCAAAAAGTTTCTCTATTAAAAGGACAAAAATTTACGATGAGTTAAATAAATGTCAAACATTACAAAGAATCAATTTTAATAGGGGGAAAACAATTTAAAATGTTTTTATCATTTTCTTATTAAAGTCATCATTTTATGTGGGAGATAATGAATAAATGTGATAAATCGATTATCGCGTTCGAATAATGAAAATTGGTTTTTTGTCATTATTCTTGGTGCGCGTGTATTAAAAACATTAAAACATCACTTAACGATTGCTGCATTTATTTTAAAATTTATACGAGCATAATAAAATGAAAAAAAAAAAAAAAAACATTTAGCGTGATCGATTCATGTTTAGACGAAGAGAAAATAGAAAAAAAAAAAGAATGAAACGCTTTCATAAAGTTTACGATGAATATTTTAAACAATATAACGCCGCGTGTTGTAATTAATTAAAATTATTATTAGTTTATTTACGATTATTTTTACTATGAAATGAAATTCTTTGAAAGTATCAAAACGTTGATTAAATAATAATATTAAGCGAATGGGGAGGGGGGAGGGAAAATAATAATAATAATAATAATAAAATAAAGTACTTGATGTTGTTGACGTAATCGATTTTTCAACGAATTTTATAATCAAATAGTATAGTCAAGTAGGTCGATTTATTATTGAATTTTTCTTTTATATTTATTGTAGAATTTTCTTTCATTTCCCACTCTTCTAACCCAGAGTAGGTTCTTCGGTAGTTAAAAAAAAAAAAAAATTGTTTGAATTATTTCGATTATAAAAATTTGAACGGGAAAATAAATGTTATACGATTTGTTAGATTGTGCATCACCACAAGATTATAACATCCCAAATACCTTGAAGCGATTGACTTCATCATATGGCAACCCAAAATTTAAATACCAACTTGTAAAATTAAACCTTTGGCGGTTTTTTTTTTTTTTGTGGAAAAAAAATTTCAAACTTTTAGTCTAGATGTAAACAAAAGTTTAATACCAAAACAAAAAAATATAAAATCTAAATATAGGAATGTCATGTAAAAAAAAAAAAAAAATTTTTTTTCGTGTGCTTCGATCCTCTTCTGGATCAATCTCGGAAGTAGTTT